TTTGAATTGCAACTTGATTATCACAGTACAATCTCATAGGTTTGTCCATTGAGAATCCAATTTCTTGTAGAAGGCTTCTCAGCCATACTAATTCACAAGTAGTGTGTGCCATGGCTCTGTATTCGGCTTCAACAGTGCTCCTTGCCACAACGGTTTGCTTCTTACTCTTCCATGTCACCAGATTTCTTCCAAGGAATGTGCAGTAACCTGTAGTAGATCTTCTATCCGACACGGAGCCTACCCAATCTGCATCTATATACCCAACTACCTCAAGTCTTCCTCCTGGTTTGTACAATAACCCACGGCCTGGAGCTCCCTTCAGGTACCTTACAACTCTAAGAACTGCATCCCAGTGAGGCATCCGAGGATTCTGCATAAATTGGCTCCCCACACTGACTGCAAAGGAGATGTTTGGTCTTGTGATTGTTAGATAGTTCAGTTTCCCCACTAACCATCTATACCTTCCAAGATCATCAAATATTTCACATGTATCATTGCTCAACTTAGCATTTGGTTCCATAGGAGTTTTAGTCGGTTTCGCACCTAATAGTCCTATTTCATCCAACAAATCAATGACATATTTTCTTTGGCACAGATTTACACCTTGTTTTGATTTGACTACTTCTATACCCAAGAAATACTTCAACTTCCCAAGGTCTTTTGTTTGAAAATGGTCTTGTAGGAAGAACTTTAGTTTATCAATCCCCAATCTGTCACTACCAATTATGATAATATCATCCACATAGACTACTAATAAAATCTTTTCGGCTTCCGAATCATAGTTGAACACTGAGTGGTCAACTTGACATTGTTTCATTCCAAAATTCTTCACCACTTAACTAAACGTCTCAAACCAAGCACGAGAAGATTGTTTCAACCCATAAATTGCCTTTTTTCAGTCTACACACCTTACCATCCTCCCCCTGAGCAAATAACTCAAAGACAGAACTAGTATCTTGAGTGCCTTAAGAGATGGATGTCCCAGCCGACAATGCCATTGTAGAGGAGTGAGGGAAGTCTGAAGTGCAACTAACGATCCACCACCGACAAAATAATACAATCCACCGGCTTCATGCCCCCCACCAATCTTCTTCCCTCTCTTGAGATCATGAAAAACACAAAAGAAAGGGAAAAATGTAATAGAACAATTAAGGGTCTTAGTTAATTTACTAATTGACATAAGATTGAATGGAAACTTAGGGACATATAGAACAGATGATAAGGAAAGAGAAGCCATGTCAATATTACCAACACCACAGATGTGAGAAGAGGAACCACTAACAAGGGTAACAGTTTGAGATGTGGAGGTTTTAGAGAGGGAAGAGAACACACCTGGAATCCCGGTCATGTGATTAGAGGATCTAGAGTCAATAATCCAGGGAGGGGATTTGGATGTCAGACAAACTATACCTGAGTGTGCAAGGGTGGTTGTAGTATGTTGTGAAGTAGCCTGAAGGAACCTCTCATACTCGTCGCACGGTACACATTCCGTCCCGAAAACAAATGTGGATGTGGAAGGTGTGAGATCTGTCTGTTGGTTACCACTGACTTCAACATCACCAGCTACTACATGATTGGCCCATGTAGAAGGTGGGCCATGGAGATCATAACAAAAATTCACTAAATGTCCTTCCCTACCACAATGGGTGCACTTCCTAGTAGAGTTACCTTTTCCTTTACCATAGCCTCCCCTTGAGTCACGACCACCACCACGGCCAAATATGGAACTACCACAACTTCCTCGAGATGCGATGTCCTCCCCAACTAGTACCACGTCCACCTCCTCAGGCTACTACAAATCCTGATCTATTAGATAGTGTGGTACTCTCTGTAGATCCCAAAGAAATCCTGTGAAGCTGTGCAAACACTTCCTCAAGTGTGAGAAGAGTAGAGCCCCCTAATATTTGGGCTCCAACTTGTTCGTACTCTAATTTCAGCCCCACTAAAAACCTAATGACATCAAGTTGCTCCCTCTATTGTTGTTGAACCTTAACATCTAGAGTTAGGGGAAGATAGACATTGAGTTCATTCCTGAGGTTTTTCATGCTGACATAGTACTCTTCTAGGGTTTTATTCCCTTGCTGCATATCAAAATACTCCTAATAGAGCTGATATACCCTCGTAGTATTATCCTACCCAGAATAAAGTTTCTTGGCATGTTCCCATATGTCCTTAGTTGTATCTAAGAACATAAATTTGGCACTTATTTTGGGTTCCATACTATTCCATAACCATATCATGATTTGAGCATCTTCTTGTTCCCAGTCATCAAACCCTGAAGAGTCAACTGATGGTTTATCTTCCTTCATGTGTTTCACTTTCCTCTTTGCCTTGAAAAATACTTCTACTGACTTGGCCCATGGCACATAATTCTCACCATTAAGTTTAATTGAAGTCATCTGCACACCCAGATAGTCGGAGGGAATCATCACACCAGGTTTCTGATCACAACAACCATCTCCAGTTGCTGCCATGATACCCTCCCAATGTTACTTCTAATGCTGAATCCCTAGTCACCAACCGAGTACTGCTGTCAGGAGTTTGATGTTTCAGACACTACAGCAGTCTCCAAACACAAACAATAGGTTCACAACCAGTCACAATCAATCACCAATATGTAAACTACCGCTCAGATTAAGAGCTTGACGTTTCAGACAGGTTCGGCTACCATTTCAGATTAGAAAAAAAGGTAAACTAGCATTCATACAGCAACAACAAATCAAAAAAAAAAAAAAAAAAACACAGACTTTTGTTCTTGTTCACACCACTACTGATTACACAACCATAAATCACCATGACAGTAACTCAGCAACTCAACTAACCACACACAAACCCTCTTGAAACAGCTCAATAGAGGGTGAACATCATAACCACCACCACACAACCAAAGCTGTCACACATGGTGATAGCAATATGGAACTGATAGGCTAGGACTGCCGCACCTTCCTAACCACTTGAAACAGGGACTGCAGCAGTCCTAAAAAAAAAAGAAACTTGCTGCAGTAACTAGATTGAGTACCTCAGATTTCGCAGCCCAGAGAAGAACCCAGAAGAAGGAGAAATCACAGAATATGAACCTTGGTGCCACAGCCTTCTTCTCTTTTGTTTAGCGCTCTGATACCATGTTATTTCAGTAGCCTCAACAGTTTGAACCAGAAGATAGTGAAGAAGAAAAAGAAGAAGAAGTCAAACTTGGTAGTCCAAAAACCATACCAGTCAACCATAAGATAGATTAGGGGTTCTAACTTCTAATTAGAGTACAATGACTAAACTGCCCCCACTTAAGTATGGGACAGGAAGTCTACAAGAGTAATATTAGAACTGCTACATAAACACATAACTTAAACTGAATGAAAAGACTAATCTACCCTTATTTGGCTAACTCTAACAATTTGCTATGTTCTCATGATGAACTCTCTAAAAGCGTGAAGTTGTTTCATGAGCTTATCCTTACATAATTTGATACCCATATCAAGGTATTCCATTAAGACAATGTAAAGGAATATTTTGAGAAGGGTCTCCCTTGTTACTTTGACAGTTTTGGAGTTGTCCACCAAAGTTCTTATATTCGCACTCCACAATAGAATGGAGTGGCTAAAAGAAAAAATCATCATGTTGTCGAGGTTTCTAGGAGCATGCTTTTTTTCTTCTAATGTTCCTATGAAATTTTGTGGAGAACCTATTATTACAACCACTTATTTAATCAATTGTATGCCTTCTAGGGTCTTCGGATTCAAGTCACCTTTTAGTCTTCCCTTCCCTAATTTTGAGCCCTTTTCTCTTCCTCTACGAGTGTTGGGTGTACTTATTATGTACATGTTCCTAGTAGTCAACAGCATAAGTTTGAACCCAAGGCTCAGAAGTGCATCTTTCTCAATTACACCTCCACACAATAGGGGTACTATTGTTACAATCCCTCTAATGGCACAACGATTTATATTTATGGATGTTACATTTGCAAAGTCAATACCTTTTTTATCCAATTTCTTCTGAGGGGGAGCACTCTGTTGACTTGTTTGATATTCCTCTCCTTATTTCGGTTCCTATTGATTCCACTAGTGAATCTTTTTCTGATCCTCCTATTGTGTCATCACCTACTTCCTCTACTCCTATTCTTGTTCTTCCTAGTCATCCTTCCTTTTCTCCTCTCCTATCCTTTAGAGGTGGTATCACAAGTGTAGACATGAGTAGATTGCTCCCCTATCTTCTACCGAGCCTCATGCACCTCCAGTTGCTGAAGAGACGACGGATTTTACATCACCACCGCAACCTTTCTTGACCTTGACCTTGCCAAATGGAGGTGCACTGCAGATTGTATCTCTAAACACCTTTCCTATGGTTTACTTTCCCCATGCTTTTTAGTCTCTGTTCCTCGTAGTGTATCCCTAGATTTGTATCAAAAGCACTATTTAAACCTGAATGGAGGGTCACTATGAAAGCTGAGATAAACGCATTGCACAAAAATTATACTTGGGGATATTGTTGATTTTCCAGAAGAAAGGAATTTGTACATTGTAAGTGGATGTACACAGTCAAATATCATGCCGATAGAACTATTGAATTCAAAACTAGATTAGTGGCAAAGGGTTACACATAGATGTATGGTGTGGATTAATTAGACATTCTCTCCAATAGCAAAGATGAACTTTGTTCGAGCGCTTCTTTCATTAGCAGCCAGCTATGATTGGCTTCTCTATCAGTTGGGTGTTAAGAACGTCTTCCTGAACGGTGATCTCCATGAGGAAGCCTATATGCCCCTACCTCCAAGTATGTATGGTAAGGAGATGATATATATGCAAACGGAAAACATCTCTCTATGGATTAAGTAGTCAACAAAATCTAGTCTATGTAGGAGCACCATTGCAACAAGTGGAGGCTAAATGTGCATAACAAAGGATAGAGTAATATCATGGAGGGCACTACTTGACCAACTAAAAGATTATTATATAAAATCATATTCTTACACATAACAAAATAGTATAATTAACCAAGTAACATACTCTACAGGTTCTTTGAGATCATTTAAAATCTTAGCAGCTTCATCCAGCTTTTTTTTGGCATCACTCTCCCGTGCTTTTGCTTCCATGTATTCAGCCTTTTTCATATCATACCTAAGCCAAGGTAATTTCTTTTTCATGGCCTTAACCTATAAAAGACAAGGAAAAGATGTTACAACTTAAGAAGAGTTGTAGAGTGACAGTTATATGACGCTAAGAAACAACCTTTGCAAGCAGTTCTTCTCTTTGACGGACACGCTCCACATCTTTTTCTTGTTCAGCATTGAGTGCCTTCAGCTGATTCAAGGTATCTCCATTTGCCTTCACAGTCTACAAAAGCATCACTACAGTATATTAGCAATCATAACTCATCAGACATTCAATATCAAAACTTTTTGATACTATTTCTAGGAAAAATTAAAAAAATAAAAGATTGCTTACTTGAAATGTGAAGACAAGAATGACCACATTTTGAGGCCAAGTAGCAGATGAATGAATAAAATTTGATAAGTTTACAAAGAAAAAGGTTAATTTATAAACTCACAACTTCAAGTTTCTTCAGCTCACGGCTTTTATTGACAAGAGCATGATGTTGAAGAGGTAACTGAGGATCACCAACAGCCTTTTCAGTCTCTTCTAGAAGTTGTACAGGAGTTAGCTTAGCAAATTCACAGACCCGGTCTTGAGGTAAGAACTAAAATGAAAACAAGAAAATTTTAAAACCATAGTTTCATATGAGCTTCCCATAGAGCCAATTTATGTCAAGTGTACAAGGTGAATGGGAAAAAAATATGGACATTAAGAATATTAAGCTAGAAAAAACAATTCTATAAATGTATATAGGATTTAGTACACATGGATAGAATATGATAATATGGACTAAACAAAGTTATAAAAGAGACTAATAAATTTCACCATAGCCATCTAAATTTAAAAATGAAAAAAGGCTTTCATTAAACATTAAGGATCAGTTTTGCCATGCAAACTCAGAATCAAAGTTTCATTATATGCTAGCAAATTCATACCAGTTATATTGTTTTCCAAAGCTTTCATGTCCATTAGACCGTTACTTTTTCTTATTTTTACGAGTAATCAAAGAAAATGATATGAGGTATAACCATATATGTAAACATATAACTATACTGATCAATAAGGGTATGACTACATATGTAAAGATACATAGAAAATAGGGGAAAGCAATAATAACCCCCATAAAGCTTTACAGTGTACCACACTGTACACCCAAAACAACATACCAATTGAACACAATGTCTCTCCTAGTTGGGCATGCAATGGAGGAAGAAATGGATATTCTTCAAGCAAAATGTACATGGAAACTTATTTCTCCCTTCCAAATAAGCATATAATTGTGTGTTGTGTCAATTGTGTCATCATATCATCATCATCCAAACCTTCCAACTATATGGGATCAGCTACAAGAATCCTGTTTCACCACTCTGTTCCGTTTAATGCCATATCCATTTCTCAGTGCTTAAATCATTTCTTACTACTTTGACTCATGCCCTTTTTTGGCCTACCCCTAACCCTTTTAGTTCAACTTACAACAAATCACTTCTTATAGATGCTGTCAAAGGTCTTCTATGCACGGGATTACACCATCTTAGTCTACTTTCTTATTCTATCACCTATTGGAGTTACTCCTAGGTTCCTTCAAATGACTTCATTTCTGACCCTATCCTTTCTAGCTTTTCCATTCATCCATCTCAGTATACACATTTCTTCCACACTCATTTTCTGAACATGTTGTTTCTTGATTGCCCAACACTTCGCTCCATACAGCATAGCTGGCCTCAAACTGTTTTATAGAATTTTCCTTTTAATCTAAGTGGTATTTATCTATGACATAAGATTCCAAATGCACCCCTCCATTTTGCCTATCCTGCTCTAATTCTATGGGCAACATCCTCCTCAATCTCTCCCTTGTAAAGAATTATTGATGAGAGAGATTGAGGACATCACCCATAGAATTTAAGTAAGATGGGCAAAATGGAGGGGTGCATCCAGAATCATATGTGATAGGTGAATGCCACTTAAATAAGAGCAGGACATCTCCTAGATGGATATGTGGAATGTCTAAAATCAAGCTTAGTAGCAAAAGGATATAGTGAAACTTAAAATATTGACTAATTTGAGACATTTTATCCAGTTGCTTAAGCTTTGATCACTGTGTGTTATTATTTTCCTAGATGCTAATCTTAGGTGGCTATTGTTTTAACTTGATGTCAAAACACTTTCTTGCATAGTTATAGGATTATGAAGAGATATATATGGCACAACCATGAGGAGGTATAAATTTGGAGGTATAAATCTGGAAAAGAGTTGCGTAGCAGGTATAAATTTGGAGGTAGGGGAGGTCAAGGCTATTGCGGAGTGTCTTGAGTGTTCCACCTCTGCTTGGCCTATGTCATATTTAGGGCTTCCTTTAGGGGCAAATCCTAGGGAGAATAGATTTTGGACTCCAGTGTTAGAAAAGTTTGAGAAGAGATTAGTCTCATGGAAGAGGAACTATATCTCTTTAGGAGGAAGAATTACCCTAATAAGAGCTACCTTGGCTAACTTACCTACCTATTATTTGTTCGTCTTTAGGATACCAGTTAGGGAAGCTAGGAAGCTGGAGAAGTTGATGAGAGACTTCTTATGGGA